CTCGTGGCCCTGGTACTCCAATGTTATTTTCCCATTGGGCTCGTGGCCCTGGTACTCCAATGTTATTTTCCCATTGGGCTCGTGCCCCTGGTACTCCAATATTAAAATCCCATTGAGCGCTCGTGTCCCTGGTACTCCGCTTTTTTAACATTTTCACAGCTTTCTGGCTCTCGTGGCCCTGGTACTCCAACGTTGAAAGCACATTGAGAGCTAGTGGCCTAGGTACTCCAATGTTAAAATCCCATTGGGAGCTCGTGGCCCTGGTACTCCAATATTAAAATCCCATTGAGAGCTCGTGCCCCTGGTACTCCAGTGTTATTTTCCCGTTGAGAGCTTGTGGCCCTGGTACTCCAATGTTATTTTCCCATTGAGAGCTCGTGCCCCTGGTACTCCAATATTAAAATCCCATTGAGAGCTCGTGCCCCTGGTACTCTGCTTTTTTAACATTTTCACAGCTATCTGGCTCTCGCAGCCCTGGTACTCCACTTTTTTAACATTTTCACAGCTTTCTGGCTCTCGTGGCCCTGGTACTCCATTGTTAAAATCCCATTGGGAGCTCGCGGCCCTGGTACTCCACTTTTTTAACATTTTCACAGCTTTCTGGCTCTCGTGCCCCTGGTACTCTGCTTTTTTAACATTTTCACAGCTTTCTGGCTCTCGTGGCCCTGGTACTCCGCTTTTTTAACATTTTCACAGCTTTCTGGTTCTCGTGGCCCTGGTACTCCAATGTTAAAATCCCATTGAGACCTTGTGGCCCTGGTACTCCAATGTTAAAATCCCATTGAGAGCTCATGCCCCTGATACTCCAATATTAAAATCCCATTAGTAGCTCTCGTGGCCCTGGTACTCCGCTTTTTTTTTTACATTTTAACAGCTTTCTGGCTCTCATGGCCCTGGTACTCCAATATTAAAGCAACACTAACAAAGAAACACATTAATCATGTTTCAAATTTCAAACAGTGCTTGGTTTTTATTGCTAGGACAACATCAAAACACAGTTACAGCACTGAATTTAATGTGTTGAGGTAGTATTCTGCAGTTGGTTGGCTCAACCTGGCAAGCTTTACATAGCACCTGGAGGTCCCAGCTGAGGGGGCTTCCTGCTCGTCTGAACTGGTCTTGTCCTCTTGAGAGGGCTTTGCAGAAGCCATCCTCAGGGCCTTCATTCTCAGTTTTCTAGTTCTGTAGCTTGTCTCTTTGTCCGGTAGAGCCACATAAAACCTCTCCGCAGTGCTGGGATCGTGGCACATAGATTTTGCCACCTGCTTTCTCTCCTTCTCAGTGAGGTGTTGGCTGGCCTGAGTTGAAACACTGCTCCGGATCTGGTTGAAGCTGATGCCACCTTGCATCCCAGAGTCTCGCCACGCCAGACGGAGGGAGATGGAGGGCTTCTCCATCTGCTTGCCTTGTACCGTGTGGAACACATACCGGCTGCTCCGACCTTCCATGCAGCACGTCCCTTCGCTCAGGTTTCGAAGCCACCCAATCTCCTCTCTATTAAGGATGAAGGCAGCTTGACTGAAAGATCGAGAGGTCTTGTGCTCATCCACCTGGGGAAATAATTGGCAGAAAATTAACATTTTCCTGTGGATAGGTGGGCTTCAGCTGAGCACATGAGTGGTGTAAAATACTGACCAGAACTTGGTATTTTTTCCCACGATTCCAACTCACACAGCTAGCCACACTTTCCTTGGTCATGTTAGTGAGTGCAACGGATCTGTGCCCCGTGAGGATGCAGAGGTAGCCCATTATTTATCCAGTGACCAGAGAATGCTCGTCCCCCTGAGGTCCACTGCAGGGGCCTATTTCAAGAAGGCGGTTTAACAAACTCAGAGTTCAAACCTGAACTCTGAGTTGACTTACCCAGAGTTGGAAAACTCGGAGTTTTCGGTTTCAGAACAGCTGAAAAGAGTTGGTTTAATCAACTCTGAGTTGTTTGACTCAGAGTTAGGCGCGTGCCACGCGACTATAAAAAGCCCTGAACAATGGAGTGAAGAAATTACGAGTCACCATGGCAACAGGACCAAGCCAAAATAGGTCTGCGTTTTTCCCCGACAGAAATGGATGTGCTACTACAAGCATATAGTGACTACGAGCCCATTCTGCAGTAAAATAAAATAAAAGAAAAGCTACCAAAGATGTTAAGGGCCGTCCGGTCCCTGTACGACCGGAGCAGGAGCTCTATAGTTGGGGTACAGAGAACCAGCACATACCCCTGGAATGGAGCTCCATGCGCCCGGTGCTACACTTCACCGCCGAAATGGAGCTCCATAGTTGGGGTACAGAGTACCACCACATACCCCTGGTTCACATTGCCAGCAGCTCAGAGTAGAACCGCTGCTCCTCATCGAGAGGAGCAAGCTGAGGTGGCTCGGGCATCTGTTTTGGATGCCTCCTGTATGCCTTTCTACCCAACTTCTAGTTGAAAGAGAAAGGATGACTTACCAAATAAACAGCTACCTGCTTTTCTCTTGCCTACATGTTCTCCTTTATCCGACAGAAGTGGGTTATTTTTTTCGGTATTTGGGGTCCGTGGCTACACTCTCATCATTTGACCCAGCTTTTGCTCTGTAACCTGGATTCAAACTTCTCCCAGCGGGGGTTGCATGAGCGCACGTTCGAGACTGCCTTTTGCTCCAGCAGCTGTAACCTTGATTCAAACTCCTCCAAGCGGGAGGACGTGTTTTCACTCGGAAGGATGGATGGAAGGTCACTCTCACAAGAAGGGGGATTCTCAAGGGGCTCCTCATCCTGGTGCTCCAAGCCCTCTTGCTCCTTGTCGGCAGGCCACTCAGCAATATCGCCCGTGTCCAGTGTTGACACCATGGGCGCATCGGGGTCGGAATCCCTCAGTTTAGCCAGCTCTCTGATGATGGCTGCCCTCTTGGCCTGCTTCACCATCGGTTCTCGTTGCTATTAACATAAAATGCTGATCATTTTAAATATTAAACTAACTTTAGATGGCGAAGACCATTTATTTACACCATATCCCAAGGGAAGTACCTGCGCTGAGCCCATGCCGTGCAAGTCTTGGAGGTGTTTGTCGAGGCGGGCAAGGGCTTTCTTCCCACATATGGCACAGTCTAGTTTTTCTGTTGTTCTGTGGTAGGAAATTTAGAGAAACCAAGTCATGGACATCCATGCAAATAACTGGTGCTCCGTAGTAGGGGGAAATGAGCTGGCCGCTACCCCTGTAGACAGAAGAGCAGGGATAAACTGGGTAATGGAGACTGTGCATCGACCTGGAAGGCGGTGGCTGGTGGTGTAGATTAAATCCAGGGGGGCCCAGAGGAGAGGTCCGAAGAGGAAGAAGACACTAGAGACGGCAGGGCAGGATAACAACTAGGGTGCTAACAAGGACTAGAGAGAACAAAGACAATCTTAGCATAAACTTGATAAAACAACATAACAACCACTGGCCTGAAGACAGAGAAAGAATTATAGACCAATATCCAATCTCCTGTTTATTTCTAAAATCCTTGAAAAAGCTGTTGCAAAGCAGTTATGTGACCACTTGCACAAGAATGATTTGTTTGAGGATTTTCAGTCAGGATTTAGAGTCCATCATAGTACAGAAACCGCATTGGTGAAAGTCACCGATGATCTTCTCCTACCCTCGGACAAAGGGCTTGTCTCCATACTTGTCCTCTTAGATCTCAGTGCTGCTTTTGACACCATTGATCACAGCATCTTACTGCAGAGACTTGAACATGTTATTGGGATTAAAGGAACTGCGCTAAGTTGGTTCAAATCTTATTTATCAGAAAGATTTCAATTTGTTCATGTTAATGACGAATGTTCCACACAAACTGAAGTTAGTCACGGCGTTCCACAGGGCTCTGTGTTAGGTCCAATTCTCTTCACTTTATACATGCTCCCATTAGGCAATATTATCAGGAAGCACAACATAAATTTCCATTGCTATGCAAATGATTCTCAGTTATATTTATCTATGAAGCCAAATGAATCAGGTCAGCTGGTCAAACTTCAAGCATGTCTTAAAGACATAAAGGCCTGGATGACCTGTAACTTCTTACTTCTAAACTCTGACAAAACTGAAGTCATTGTGCTTGGGCCTGAAAACCTTAGAAATCTGCTGTCTAATCATATAGTTACTTTAGATGACATAGCTCTTGCCTCCAGTACTACTGTGAGGAACCTTGGAGTCATCTTTGATCAGAATATGTCCTTTAAATCACACAAAATCCAAGTCTCTAGATCTGCCTTCTTTCACCTACGCAATATTGCAAAAATCAGGAGCATCCTGTCTCAAAGTGATGCTGAAAAACTGGTCCATGCATTTGTTACCTCCAGGCTGGACTACTGTAACTCTTTACTATCAGGATGTCCCAATAATTCCCTAAAAAGCCTCCAGTTAATCCAAAATGCTGCAGCCAGAGTACTGACAGGAACTAGCAAGAGAGATCATATCTCTCCCATATTAGCTTCTCCCCACTGGCTCCCTGTAAAATTCAGAATAGAATTTAAAATCCTTCTCCTAACATACAAAGCCCTTAATGACAAGGCTCCATCATATCTTAAAGACCTCGTAGAGCCTTATCATCCTAACAGAGCACTTCGCTCTCAGAGTGCAGGTTTACTTGTGGTTCCTAGAGTCCACAGAAGCAGAATGGGAGGCAGAGCCTTTAGCTATCAAGCTCCTCTCCTATGGAACCAACTCCCAGTCTCAGTTCAGGAGGCGGACACCCTCTCTACCTTTAAGATTAGACTTAAGACGTTCCTTTTTGATAAAGCTTATAGTTAGGGCTGGATCAGGTGACCCTGAGCCTTCCCTTAGTTATGCTGCTATAGGCCTAGGCTGCTGGGGGCCCCATGATGCTCTGAGTTTCTTTCCCCTCCCCTCCCCTCTCCCTCTCCTCTCCTCTCCTCTCCCCTCCTCTCTCTCCCTATGCTTCTATATGCCCCCATTACACATTACTAACTTTGTGTCTCCTCTCCCGTAGTGTGTCCTCTCTCTCTCCCTGTACCTTTCTGCAGGTTGCCCTGGCCCTGGAGCTCTATGTAGAAGGCCGCCCACCAAGAGCCGGGGTCTGTCGGAGGTTTCTTCCGTTAACGGGAGTTTTTCCTCCCCACTGTCGCCAAGTGCTTGCTCAAGGGGGATTTGTTGGGTTTTCCCTATGTAATAATATTGATAACAGTAAGGTCTAGACCTTACTTTGTAAAGTGTCCTGAAATGACTTTTGTTGTGATTTGATTTGATTTGATTTGATTTACTGAGCAGAGACTGGGAGAATGAACACAGGTGAAAAATTTAAATAATAATAATAATAACTCTGGCATTGCTGAGAAATTTTATTAATAGTTACAAGCAATTTCTAGAAATCCAATACCCTAACTCAAACCAATGGTACTGTGCATTATCAGGAATATTCATTTTATTCACAGTTTAGCATTAGCAATAGCAGTTGAATGAAGACATAAGAGGAATCAGCACTCTAGTTAATTGCACATCACCAGAGGAATCTCTACTCAAAATCATGGAAGGAATTGCAGAACAGCAAAGTTTCAGGATAGAAATGAGAATAAATGTGAATAAAAATGAATGTGAGTAAATGTGTTTTGACCAATACAGACTACATTTATAGCTTTCAGTGAAGAAGAAAAAATATCCGGAGTGGAACTAGCTGCATTCCTTTTGTTTTAACAACATCCCCTGCTTGGGAAATCCTTTTGAGGATAACAACTCAAGGATTTTCTTAGATTTAGTAATAACAGATTCTCTTCTAACAAAGTCCAAACATGACACCCTCTCTAAGTGCTCACAGCACCACACAGCAAGGGATAAATGGAGAAGTGGAGCGTGCAGAGCATTTTTTAAAACTCCTTTGCAATGGCAAGTGTGTCATTAATTCTTGCTCACAGAGTTGTACAGGCCAAGAATATGAGCTTCACTTTGGACCAAAGACTCCTCTAACTGCCCCTGTAGATCAACTGCTGTCTAGGTGTGAAATGAAAAGCCAGATGCCTAACAGCTCTCCAGAGTAGTTAATGATGGTACTTTATAGACTAAAGGCTAAAAACAGCATGGTGATTAATATTTCTTATTTGTGGGTATTATGAGTGTTCTTGGCATGATACTGGGAAGAGCATGCTGGAGTCAAGGAGGGGGATCTATCAAAGAGTTCATGCCTGGAATGGAAAAGAAGGTACCTTTAATCATCTGCTTTTGTGAGATGTCAGGTGGTTGCTAGGTGACAGGTCAGTCCAGAGAAGCTACCAGTGAATGCTATAGAGATGCCTTGGAAGTGTGTGGAAGAATGCGGAGTTTTAATGCATTAACTAATAACCATGGAGATGATGCTGTAAATTTCCACCTTTGTCTTCTGACTGCATGTGTACATTCTCCACATATTCTACATACCTATAAAACCTACGCTGTGATCATCTGACGGTGGTCGTTTGGTGGAAGATGGACTGATATGACTACATTCTGCATTCTGACATGTTTTTCTTTTTTTTTGACAGCTTTGGTGCTGAGTGGTCATTTCAGTACTACACTTCCCAGTCACCGCTTGTTAGCCATCAGTGTCTCCTCCACCCATCTAAAAATTCACATCACACTCCTGGGTGCTGACAAATGGGCTGTCGTGACAACCAACAGTGCAGCTAAGACACCTAGCTAAGAGTAAGTGTCACAACAGGTGAGTAAACTGCTGACAATGTTGTCTCAGCCTATGATTCAGTCTAACCCATTCTACTCTGACCCACGGTCAGCTGTGGGAGAAGGGCTAGATTAGGTGATCACAATCCTGGTGCAATATGAAGGCCTCAACTCACATCCCATTGTAGCCAGTGTCATCTGCTGTGCATACCACATGCAGGGGTGCCGTTTTTGGCTAGGACTGGAGATGGGGGTAATTAGCTTTGACAGAACTAATGAGTTGTTAATTAAATGTTTATCTGAATCTGGCATCTGTCGTAAAACAAACGTCTGTTAGCTGCCTACAATCTCTGGATTATCAGAAATAACTAGGGTCCTGCATGCAGGGGGATACGCTGGGAGAGGATGGTGATTTGGGGCATGTTTTTAGCAGTCAGGCAGAAACTAGTCACAGAAACAGCCCCCTGCTGTGTGTGTATTTGGAGCTTACTGTGACATTCAAGCTGGCACTTGTGTACTAAAACACGCAGATTTTTTTTTTTTTATTATTAATAGTTATTTTGGATTGATTTAAAATTTTTAATCTATTAACATCTGATTGAAGTTCTGTAATCGAAGCCCATCTTTAGTTAGATTTTAGAGACGTAAATCATAACAGGGTCAGTAAACTTGTGTATTCATTTTTGTTTGTGCTGCTCATAACATTAAAATCTTTAATGAAATAATAATTTTCTTTGCTTTTAATAACAACTTTTGTTTTTCCAGAATCACAGATTGATTGATTGATTGATTGATTGATTTACACACTCTGGATATTGTACAGAATATACTGAGAACTGTCTTTATTGGGACTGTTTCAGCACTAAATAATGATTCCAAACAGGGCTGTTGTCAGAAAGGTTTTTTTTTGTTTATTTCTGGGAAAACACTGCTATCTAATTTTTTTCAGGGTGGCCACAGCATTTAATTGTTTGGACATCACCTGGTGCACTCCACCTGAACAAACCCCAGACTCACCTTGTACTTGGATGCAGGAGAATGCTTGCTGCAGGTTCAGATGCTTGTCTAGTAATTCAAACTAAGCTAAGCCTTGTGTTTGGTTTCTACTGGCTGTTTAGCTACAGTATATAGCCTTTATTTACTCAGGTAATCTTAATTAATATGACACTATACAAGGGCATACGAGCATCATGCAGACATCTCTGAAAACATCCAAAATTTTAATTAATCAGATGGGAACAGACTTTAGTAGGAGACATTTATAAACAAATATGATATGTGTATAGTTATCTTCTTGTTCCTAGGGAGAACCATCTGATTTCTCATATTGTGGTGGGTGTGATGTGTTTTGTAATAAACTGTATACAGCTCAAATTATTATGTATTGCATGATCATATTTGCTAAATTGATTTAGTTATTTATGGATTATATTTGTTTTAGTTTTTTTACTTAACTGTTTTTCAGACCAAACCAGACTGTAGTTATCACAGCTTTCAGTGAGGAAAAAAAGTGAAAGTGCTGTATAGAGTTACTGCATCTCTGACTAAACAACATTCTTTGAATAAGAAACTTTCTGAGAATCAAAAGTGAAGGATTTCTTTCTAAGTCCAGACATGACAGCCTCTCTGACGGTGCTCAGTGCACCACAGTGCAAGGGACACAGAGTGAAAACTAAATTTTTTAAACAACAAAATAAGCGCTCTGCCCTGGATCATGTTTGCATTAAAAGTGTAAGAGAAGGGTATTGAAACACACTGTTGAAGAAACATCTGCCATGTGAGATGGGGAAAGACAGTTTGAAAGCTGTTGATTATTTTATGGAAAGCTCTGTTCTTGGCCAGTTTTGACCTCTTCCTTTTACTTGAGTTGCAGTGCTTATCCCAGGCTTATCATAGCCATCTTACCTCTGACACCTCAGCTGCTCTCCCGTCCATAGATTCTTTTTGATTGTAGACTCATTTTCATTTAAATGCTGATGGGTTGGTGGATCAGTGTAAATTGGAAACCCAAACTTATTCTGCTTTTTTCTTGTCCTTCCTCTTTTTGTGTGTTTGTGGAGGAGTGCAAATTGCTGGCACTTTTGTTTGCTGTTAGGGTTGTCATTTGTGCCAATGGATTTCCATGAATTTAAAGAAGGTCTGAAATTATTCTGACCAGCATTAACATCAGGCAAATTAATTCAGATGTCAAATTGAAGGACTGCCCCAGTTAACATTGGTGCCATACATCATGGCAAAAATTTCAGTTAAAGATGTGGGTCTGGATGTGACGTACTGTCAGATAAGACGTGTTATATTCCGCTTCTGTAAAATCCAACCTTTGCATTTTCACTTTTCAGAGGCAGAGCTGCTCTGGAGGCAGAAATAATCTGATTGGTTGCATTACACTTTAGTGTGCAGGGACAAGAAGGATATTTACAAACTCACAAACTCATTAGCTGAACGTTGTAATGAACAAACTGAATTAACTAGAATTACCGCTTTGCAGTTGTATGCCTCTGCCAACCAGTCAAATTCATGGGTATGGGACAGAAGTGAGGTCACTGACCTTAACCTTTGACCACCAAAATCTAATCAGTTCATCACTGAGTCAAAGTGGACGCTTGTGCCAAATATGAAATAAGAATTTTTTTTGATGGGCAATAAAACGCTAAGGATTAAGTTAATAAGGATAATCAACTTTATTTGGCCAAGTATGTTACACACAAGGAATTTGTTTCCAGTACAGAACCGAGGCAGCCATCTGCAGCGCCAACTCAACCAATGGCTCTAACCATCAGGGACAACTTGGGGGTTCACTGTCTTGCCCAAAGACACTTCGACACATGGACTGCAGGCACCGAGATTCAAACCTCTGATCCTCTGGTTGGGAGATGACTGCTCTACCCACTGAACCACAGTCACCCCACAAAAGTTTTTCATGCAGATTTTGTGTTATAAATCTGTATCAGTATGTAGTTATTTTGTTCCCTCAGAGCATTATACAGCTGCTTACACAGTCTTTATGCCTGATAATTTGCAAAGAAACAGGACTCGTGTCTAAAATGGTTTATACTACTGGGTGATCAAAGAGCATGTTTGGATTTGAAGGTCAAAACACATCTTGACACATGTTAAAGGTGCACATGTCACACATGTCAAAGATTTTATACCTGTATATTTCATGATAAATCAAGTGAAAATGGGACAGGACTTGGTGCCTGAGCTACAGTATACCCCCTTTATGAGAATCAGCCATGATTTGGTCCATACATAGGCCTGCCATGTAGCAAAGGTTATAAGCAGCATTTTTCAAACTGCAAATAGTCATTTGGAAATGACCAGCAATAAAAATCTGCTAAATGTCTGAAACAGTGACTGCCAGACTGAAGAGGTGGTCGGGAGCCATTGAGCTAGAGTCAAATTCCTTTTATTTTTGATAATACTTGGCAATAAAGTTTATGTTTATGCTTCTGTTGCACAGAATAGGACAAAGAGCAAAACCCAGGGTTAACATTGGTTTGACTATTTGAAGTTTCGAGTGTTAAAAGCCACCAAAGGACTTTAATTTGTTTCAGATGTGCTATTCTTCTTTCTGGATGCATTAGCATCTAAAGTTTTTTCTTTGTTTTCTTTTTTAACATTAGTGACCTAGCGTGGTCATGATTGTACCTTCAAGCTTTGTGTAACATTAGTGCTTTGTGTCACATTAGCAGTAACCAGAGTGTTCTACTGGTTTGCAAAATTGTACTTGTTAGTCAGCTAACACTAGCTTCGGACTGGAGGATTTTGCAGTTGAACAGTTTGTGGTAAGCAGGCATCCATAGCCTAACCAAGTCTTGATGCCTGTTATTATGGGATCTGTACTGCCAACCTGATTTGTTCTACACATGTGCAAAGAAGCAGTTTACCTCAGTGTCATATCATCTCACCTTATAATCTTTTTCTAACCTAACCACTCAGGACACAGCCGCTTTTGCATGTGTAGAAGAGATCAGGTTTCAGGTACAGGTCGGGTAGTGGCAATGCCTTTAGTCCATAAACTACTGTATATCCTGTATAGCTAACACTCACAAGATTTGCCAAATCTGGAGTACGACAAAGACATACAATGGCAATGCCATGAATCAGTTTTTAAAAGCAGACAGAAACAGAACACAGATATTTCTCACAGAACAGTGTTGAATGTTTAGAAAAATATGGACAGTTTATTTGACCCTTCTTTGACAAGCATTATAATTCATTTCCATAATGTTTAACTCCTCTGAAGTCAATGGAACACAGTCTACATCCAAATACTAACAGTGGTATATCTGTTATCAACAACACATTCATTCACTTCTCATTCTACAAACAGTTTTGCAGAGACACACAGAGTATAGTATTAATTTATCCTGTCAAATACTTGGTTAAGTGGGTTTCTTTTCTGAGCTCACGAAACAGTGATTTATAGTAGTTTTTTTTTAAGAGTCTTTTGAAAACAGACAGTCTAATACAAAGTCCATCCAGTACAGAGTTGTCCATAATACTGCTTCTAAAATAGCTTATTTACAATCATCTACTGGAAGCAAAAAAAGACCCTTGCTTTAAGAACAAAAAAGCTAGCCATCACTATTCAAAGTAAATTTAAAAAAAACCCAGAGGAGATGTTTTTATCAATTGTGCTTTGTAACCCACAAAACCACTTCATTTTTGGAAATGGAACATCTGTCAGAGGCACCAAATAGAAGTGCTAATAACATCCATTTCAATTTCTCTCTTTGAGATCCTCTAGAGCTAGAGTAGGGCAGGGCATACAAATGGTTGTTTTTTATTGATTTATTTATATATTTATAAAGTTATTACAAGCTCATCCTAGTTCATCACCTGTGGTTGTGTTGTGTTGCACAACAGAAGTCATAGGAAAATCGGTCCTTGTGTTTAACCATGCAAAGCCCTTTAAGATTTGCCAGAAAAGGTCAGAGAATACATTTGCTGGACAAAGGGGGCTGATACAGGCTTACACAGACACGATCAGTGTTCTCTCACTAAAACATGTACAGAATTAGGCTTGTGGCTGAAAAGGGTACGCAAGATAGTGGAAATAATAGTAGGCAAGTTAGCTGGATATCACCACATCTCCCCCATCCCTAACCCTGTCTGGCTTCAGCTCTAGCTGAGTCTGTGTATGTAGTGTACAGTGTAGCTCATTGTTCCGGTCTCTCACAGTAGACTAGTGAATGCTATTGGTCCTGGAATCTCTGACTTTGCAGAAACCTCAGTCAAAGAAAGTGAAATCATCACTAACCACCACTCTCAAACAAGGCCAGTGTATCCACGTACCCAAGTCAACTCCACTCCTTGGCACAGTGCTTCTTCCTGTGCCGTTTAGGTAGTTCCTTGCTACTGTTACACCGTCACCTCAGTCTTGCTGCCTGTGCGGTAGTGCTGTGGCTGTTGTGGCTGCTGGTGGTGCTGTGGGATGTAGTGGAGCTGTTCCACAGTGTGAGTCCGCCTCGAGGCAAACGCCTGCCTCTTAGATGCTGTCTGATTCATGACTAAAGTGCTGGAGAGTCCAGTGCCTCCTGCCCCCTGTGCTCCGCTGCTTCCGCCACCACCATTGTTAGAGGCACTGGGATGGGAGTGCATTTTGGTCATCTTGTAGCGATCCATAAGAGGCGTGGTTGGTATGAACACGTCTGTGTGTGAGATGGCACGTGACATTGATCTGTCACTGCCATAAAACCCACCAGAGATGCTGCTGACCATGCCGCGCTTCAGAGACATCATTAGCTTGTCTGGTGAGAGCAGAGGATCCTGGGATAGGAGGCGATCTTGTGAGTACAGGCGTTCTTGTGAATACAGTCGGTCTTGAGAGTAGTGGCGGTCTTTTGGGTAGAGGTGATCCTGTGACAGGTGTCGGTCCTGAGCATACATGCGGTCCTTGGAGTACAAGCGATCTTGGGAGGTGTAGCGGTCATGTGGGAGGAGGCGCTCCTGGGACCGAAGACGTTCAGCGGACAGAAGCTGTTCATCTGACAGGATCCTGCCTCCATACGGGGACATACCATTAGAAGGCATGCTGTAATCCTGCTGTGGGGCCCTCTGTGGGGACAGGACGCGGTCCTGAGACATGGCCCTCTGGACACGACGGGGCCTCTGCCTCTGCTGGGCCTGCTGCTGTGAAGACTGTGACTGAGGAGGGGCCTGGGAAATGGACGACTGTGGGGGCTGGCTCTGGAGCTGCTGCTGCTGTTCCCTGTGCTGCTGAGCAAAAGATGAATGAGGTCAGTTTAATCACAAGCTGAGGGCTAAAAGGCTCTGCCACCGGCCACTACAGAAAGACATGAAAAACAAGCTACAGCCTCTAACACATTCAAATCTGGAGACTTGGAGATAGCACTTATGCTTTGCCTCACAGAGTATGAAAAACAGAGAACATGACCTTGTTCAGATGTGTGCACATTTAAACCGAACACTTGTGTACCTACCTGTTCTTGAGTGATTTTCAGAACATGCAAGGGAAGAGTGCCTCTTGCTGCAAGGTCAGGCAGGTGGCGCTTATGAGTGTAGTAGTCTTCGACTTCTTTATCTGCTGCAGAGGACATGGGAATAAAAACAGAGGGAAGAGGTGAAGAGGGAGTGAAGGCAAGAGGAAGCGGGTAGGTGTTAGAATGCAAGGGGAGAGGTCGGATAAAGTGGGATTGGAGAACACTGAATACAATGTGCCGTATAGTGTTGGCAAATCCATCTGTGTTTCACCTTTACAAGCTCATGGAGGGCAATAGAAAATGGAGAAAGAATCACAGTCTGTATTACATGCTAAGCACATAACATTCACACAACCAGGCTTCATCAGGAATTCTACAAGCATCTCCGGCTGTGGGTGCAAACTCTTTAAAGGTCAAGTGAAAGTCTATAAACAAACATCATCATATTATACAGATATAGAGGGAAGCACGCAGGCACCTCAGCTACATGCTGGAAAGCGAATTGTGTTATTGTACAGTCACATCACAGTGTTTTAATGTCCTTGAGTTGATGTTTTACTTGTCTACAAACAACTACACCATGCATTCAGAAGCAGATCAAAAAGACAAGAATACACTTCCAGAGACAATAGAGTGTAGGAGTGAAAGTAGCATCAAGTGCATGCCACACAACACAAACCCATGCATAAAGACGTGTCTTTGTGTACATAACAACACACATAGTGCTGCACATTTCCAACAAAGCTTTCTTACAAAGAGACAAAATGCAGCATAAATCATTCAAAAACAAAAAAATACTGTATAAGTTCACTGTTAACAAGAGCAATTTTTTTTACTAAGTCAGCAGTGAACACTTATGCCATTTATATGGTGGAAATAAATTATGGAGAGCAAACCCATTAAGAATTTGGAGATGAGGCAGAGTCTGAGCCTGTCTTTTTCAATAATGGGTGCAGCAGTGTTCACACCACCTGTCAAAATTATACTCCGCCAAAATCCCCTTTAGCAGCAAGCCACAGGTGCCTGCTTCAAATCAATTCATTATGAGAGATAATAAAAACAAGTTGTTCATTTCTCAACCATAATAGTCTCAAAGATCTGGGCAGGGCATTGCAAACTTGTCAACCACATTACCACAGAGCAAATGAATATCTTGTGATGTATACTGTCCTGCACTGCGCTGTTCTTCTTCAGTTTGATACCAATTTGCATTAATAATCAGTAGCATTCTTCACTTTCTATTATGGCAACAATGGAAATGTTGCTCCTTCCAGCACAATCCAACATTGTCTTTCAATGTGCTTTGAAAGCAGAAAGAAAGCTGGGAAGACTGAAGGACACTGCCTGAGGATAGTTGTTTCATTCTCTTCTGTGGGCTAACAATTGAATTCATTTGGTCTTGTTTTACTGTCTATCAAAAACTAGTATGCAAGTAAGTAAATAGGGTAACAGTGAATCCCTGAATCTTGGCATTTAGTTTGAAATGGTGTCTTGGCAGCTACCAGTGTGGAGTGAGCCCTGACGGGATCAATTGTAGTTCATCAGCCTTCACTTTGACTGCAAGCCAGCAGTGAAGTGGGGCAGGCATGATGAAATTACACAACCCTTAAGGAATATTTGCATTCCACTTAGAAAATATCATGAGATGAGACCTCATTACACAGCAGAAATCCAGCATAGAGCCAAAAAATCAATACTGAGCCAGGCCAGGCACAAGAAGCCGCTTAATGTACTTATACGCTTCAAGAGAAACAGGGGCTGCAGCCTTTAAGTGGAGACAGGGGAAGCATGGAATATCAATGGCTTCTAGGTTCTTGAGATGACTAGGGTGATTTCATGAAGGATCAGAGTTTGGGTATTTTCTGGTTCTGATCCAAGGCCCTCTCCAGCCACTGAATATTTTATTTAGTGGGGAGCTGCAAAAAAGTATTTTTTTTTCTACTGTTTGATGTCCTTAGTGCAGCTGGCAAATCATTTTCACAGATGAAAACTTCAGAGCCACTCAGTAAGTCCCAATCAGGGGTCAGGAAAGCATACTTAATGCAGTAATTTAATCATGCAGGGCATCAGGGCAGGGAGCCTACTCTTGCATTAGTGCAGCGAACTTGGACCTACTGAGTTTCTTCAAGGACGAGAACCGGTCGAGGTCTGGTTTGACAGCCGCCTCGTAGGAGGGCGGCAGGTGTGACAGGCTCTGGAAGGAGCGTGAGAAAGACAGGTCGTAGGGCTCCGTCTGCGAGGTCAGGATGCCGCTTATCCGATTGTTCTCTGGAGACACATACATACATATACAAACACAGAAGAGGGAAGAGGAAAAAATGGACGGGCTGGTTTCTCCTGTCCCACCCACCGCCCACCCCTCCAAAAAAAAACAAAACCTAAGGATGAGACCCCAGACAACCATCATGGAACACCTGCTGAGGTAGAGAGGGGAAGACTGTGCTGTCGAGCAGGCTGGAGCTTTAGCTGTACAAATATTTCCTGGTGGCAGAGAAGCTATAAAATAATGTCCATAGTAATTCCATTGGTATAAAGAAAGAATCCATGTTGGATTCCTGAACAGAAGTGAATTTAGTTAAGCAGCGAGAGGTGTAAATGATGTATTCTTCTTGCCAGGAATACAGTATAGCCATTGAGGACACAGAGGACATGTGCTTGGTATTATCTCTGGAAATCTGGGGGTTGTAACGACCCAAGGAGAAAGTCACTTTTGTACAAACGCCCATAAACACGAGTTGGAAATAGCTGGTTTTGGTAGGTATTTAGTTATTTGAAGTCAACAGATTTATTATTGATATAATATATAGTTTACCTGAAGGACATTAGTTAGTGAAATTCATGTGATGCAATTAGTTACAGAACAGTACAGAAACCCCACTACTCTGTCTCTTATTGAACTATTAAAACACGCAGTACCCTCACTGTTGTAGAGTTTTCATAGAGAGTGGTGCTTCTTGGCTCACAAACAACACTACACTGGCTAGCAAAGAGCACACAGGACCTAAGTTTCATTTTGGCCTTTTGGCAAGTTCTGTTTGAGGTTCTTCTCAATCCAGTAAGGCAGCATGAGATAAACAGAACAATGTTACTTCTATAATGTGTTTTAGGGTAGACAGTACATGTTGGGTTTGAATTTATCTGAACCAGTTCATTTCCAAACTACTGGCATCCCTGACCTGCATAATCTGCTGCATAACAAAAATCATCTCAGGGCACATTACACACAGTAGACAAACCAGCAAAAGTGACTGTCAGCGTTGATGAGAAACCAACATGTCTTACTTGAATGTGTTGCACACTGCTTTTTGTTACAGTAATAAAACACAACTAGGACAACTAAAAATTCAATATGAAATTCATTAGCTTGGCCTGTATCCACAATGGAGCTGGCTATCAGAATCCTACCCTAGTCCAATTATTCAATTTTACAGTTTTTAGGCCAAAAGACAAGTTAAAAAGGAACAGTTCTGTTCCAATCAGAATTATATCTCTGTATTTTGTAAATAGCTTTTAAACAGAATTTAGACACCTTATGCAGGGAAATAAAGTCCACAGAAAATGTAATCTAATGGTCAAAGATATAAAATGTGAAAAAAAATAAACAAATTAAACAGACGTTAATGTTTGGCCAGTCAAAAAAGTTTTGAGGGGCGGTTGGCGCCTGGGGAATGAGGACTGGCTACGGCCCCGGATGTTAGGTTTCTATACCTTCTAGGTTAATATCACAAATAATAGGACTCTTACTGTCAAGTATCATCTCACTTACCTCTTGCCTTTCAAGTTTAACATCACTTATTCAAGAAAAGTTTCTTTGCCTGACCTATAGCTATGCTAGCGATGAGTGCATCTGCATTTGGGAAATGGTTGCATACCTAAAACTCCAGCACGCTGGTGGCAGTGATAGGGGAGTATAGGCAGTCACGTCAGACACTGAGCATGTGGTGCGGGACTGACTTGACAGGCGACATGGTGGTTTGACGAGAGGAAACAGTGGTTCAAAAAAAAAAAAAGAGAGAGACACCACAGGAAACAACAGATGTGTGCTGGAGAGTGACCCTGCTTGTGACAGTGCTGTGATGTGATCTGGGACAGGGCAGGGAGCAATGCCTGGACTGGCTGTTGT